ACCAGATTAAAGGCCATTACTTTGCACATTTGCCATTTTGTTTAGAAACCCTAGTATGATTGGTAAATCAAATATAATCTGATGGACTTTGTTCTATTATACCATCCACAGGACTTTTAGTTTCAATATACAGTAAAATGGCTGATAAACCCTCCACATCCCGGGATGACTCGTGTCAAAATGATATCGATACTGAATCAGCAGATATGCCTTCGATAGATCCCAGAAAAGATGGAACCCCTACAGACTTTACAATAAATGTTGTAGACAAATCCTTTAACGTTCATTGCGATATAATAACAGCGAAGTCAGAATATTTCAAAGCAATGCTGACTCACGACACTCAAGAAAATCAGCAAGGATTTGTTGATATGAAAGATGTAAACCCAGATGTTGTACGTGAATGCATTGAGTTCATGTACACTGGAAATGTGGATGAGGTTTCAGTTGACATCGATAATGTTGGAAATGTACTACAAGCAGCTGGAATTATACAGCTGAATGAGATAAAAGATATATGTGTCAAGTGTTTGGAAGAAAACTTGCAAACCGAAAATTGTGTTATTGAGGTTTTCGACTTGGCCACGAAATTCAACTTTACTGAACTTCAGGGCAATGCCCAAGAAGTGTTTGTTGAAACTTTTAAATTAGACAGTGTAGCAGAAATGCTTGAACTTTCAAAGCCTGATTTTATTGAGTATCTTCGTAGGCGTCACTTAGCTGATGTTCTCATTGCTTGGGATTGCATTAAGCACTGGATGGAGTATGGTCCTGATAACAGATCAGAGCTTCTTTTTGAGTTGTTGAGCTTGCTTAATTGGGATGAGTTTCCTCCCTATACCTTTCTGAGAAGACTTTGGAATAATTCTGTATTCAAGCAATCTCAGCAGTACTTGGATTTAGTTTATGAAAATGTTATTATGGATTTTCTAGGTTTTGAAAAAAACTTGTCGATTGAAAGCTTTTTCCTGCTTAAAGAATTGTCTGAAATATTCAAATTCATTCCGAAGCAAATCAAAAAAATTCTTCCTACATTTTTGAACACAAACGTAGTCAAACTCTTGGCAAAATCAAAGTTCGAAAAGTTAACAGAAACTGAAATGATGGCTTTGCTTTCTGATCCATCTATAGATGATTTGATCGGAGAAAAGTGGAAATGGATGGCAGTCAAAACATGGGTGAACAATGAGAAAGATCGGAAACCAGTTTTACCTCGACTCCTAGAGCTGATTAGGTTTCGAATCTTGCCGAAAAGTTTTATGAAAGAAGTAATTGAGCATCCTTCAATAAGAGATTCTTTCGAAAGCTATCAAATCATTACCGATGAATTTTTCCTAGAATCACCAAGATCTAGTTCCAAAACACATTACCTAGCTGTCTTGTATTCCAACGGGAAAATTCGTGCTCTGAACATGTCTACAAGGGCATGGGAAATGGTTCCTGAAATCCATCTTGAGTCTCCTTCCATATTGTTTACGTTTAATGACAAATTGTGCGTTTTAACTGGAAATAGACTATTTTACATGACTCAAACTAAAAGATGGATGGAAAAGGCTTCAATGGTTAACAAAATTGGTAATTCTGCTAAAGTTGTCACCACTAATGATCATATTTATGTGATTGAGACCTCAAGAATGTCGTGCTACGATTCTTTGACGGACAGTTGGAATGAGGACCTGCCTGGTGTTGGGTTAACAGACTTTGGTGCGGCAGTGGCGAATAGTTCAATTTATGTTTCTGGAGGTCAACAAATGCAGAATTACGATCTTGAAAACAAAATCTGGTCAAAGGCTAGTAATGTGTCAAATGCTTTCAGATTTGCAGCATGTTCATGTCATTCTCTGTATTTCTCATCTGGAAGTGTTATATCACCTAGTGGTAGTGGTTATCACAGTGTTATTTTACAGAAGTTCAGCTTTAAGCAATCAAATTGGAGTTCTATTACTTCTCCTGCACAACAAAGCCATTTTTATGCGCAGTCACTACTCAATATTGACAATTCAATAGTTCTTATCAGCACCGACAATGGCATATACATTTACAACGAATATTGTTCAACTTGGAACAAAATGTCTGCTACCATTCCAATATTGTACTGTGACAACGATAACTCATCACGTCAAGCAAATATTGCTTCAATTTGTACATATTCTGCTTATTGAGAGAATGAATGTTCTCTGCGTGCTTTGAACAAGTTAAACAGTGATTGTTAATCTTCTATCATTTTTGGTGCCTTTGAAATCCGCAACCCACTCTTGTACAGTTTGAGATGTTTACAATGTGTACATAAATAAATATTATAGTAATAATGGCGAACTAAAGAATGATGGTACCACAGTAAAATCTCTCCCCAATAACGACAAAATTTCTCCCTGGAAAGGAATTCTTCCTCAGTTGGGGAACATGGTTGTAAGAATGATTTATTTCTTGCAGGTTTGAGCAAGTCAAATACGGGCGCTCCAGAAGTGTGTGTACCAATATGGAGGTAACTAATTTTGTTCGCCTACTTTACACCAAGTTGTGTAAAGGGACTGAAACCTATTGGCAGGGGGTATACTCACTTGGCTATCACAGACAGTCCCCGAACTCGTAATGGAACTAAAATAAGGGAAAATCGGAATAAAATTATGGCCTAACCTGGTACACCCACTACGGAAGTACCCAAATTTTTTAGGAGCCGGGAACCCTTGGTCCACATCCATTTACAAAATAAATCTGATAGAGTTTCTGAATTCTAATATTTTCCTATTTTTATTATGTATTCAAAGTACTTATGGCGTGATTTCATTATTTTTTGTTTATATGGAGTGTAGTTTAGATAAATAGAGTTTAGCTGTGTTCAATAAAAGTTGTGCAAAAACTATCTGGCTAATATTTATTATCTAGAAAGTCAGCAATTTTGGTATGGACAAATGAAATGTCTGTATATAATATAAATTAAAGAGTGAGAACAAAGTCATATAATAAAATTGTCTTCCACAGAATAGCCATGGAACCAGGGATGGCCAAAACCGAATAGTTCACTATTTCGAATACATTCGAAATTATTTTTTTCGAATATGAAATTTTGAATACTTCGAAAATAAAATCCATTAATTGAAGCTTATCTAAATGTATGTAGGAATTTCCATAAAATAAGCAATGGAATAACTGCTATCTACAAGTTACAACTTAGCTATATTACCAGGCATTTCACATTTGCAGATTATTGCAGTATATATTTTATATTCCATGAGTCATGTTAACAGAATTAATTAATACGGCAATAGTGGTATCAAGGATGGATTTGAATATTTGCGCAACACAAAATCAGCCTAGTAAAACGCCCATACTTTTAAATACCAACCATTATCCAAATTATTTGCCAAAAAGCGGGATAAAGTATGAGTTATTTTTCCGATTTGTGACAATTTTTTCGTGAGTACAAAAATTCGAATCAAAAATTAATTATATTCGGGAACTTTACCACACATTTTGAGTCTGAAGATCGCCGTTGTATGTTTGAGTAATAATACTTTTATTATTTTATAAATATGAAAATAGGAATCAAAAACTATTTATAATCGGGTAGTTTACACACATTCCACAGATCACCGTTGTATTTTGGAAAATACGAAAATAGGAATCAAAAATTAATATTAATCGCGAGTTTGCCACACAATTTATGTCCACAGATTGCCGTGATATTGTGCCGAATATAATTAGTTTTTGATTCTTATTTTCGTACTCACGAAAAATTGTCACAAGTCGGAAAAAGAATTTATACTTTATCCCGCTCTTGGGAACTAATTTGGATAATGGTTGCCATTGGTTTGTATTTAAAAGTATGAACTTTTTACTAAGATGATTTTGTGCTGCGCAAAATATTCGAATCTAATAAATTTAAGTTGTAAAGCGACAATCATTTTGGACAACCTTATTAGCCGGGAAATACGGTAATTGTCAATTTTTCGATGTAATGGAAATGAATTTGTAAATTAGAAGCCTAGTAGACACATTTCGGCAATGTCCACCCACGCAAACGTGCAAATGTGTCGCAACGCTATGTGACGTAAGGTCGCACAGAATATAAACAATCGAAGTGCCAATCTATTTCATCGTCATTACAATACGTAAGACAGTGTAAAAAGTCGTTTGAAGATTCCCGTAAAACGAAACACCACGTTTACGGCAAAAAGTGGCTAATATTCAGAATTATTCGAAAATCAGCTAAAAAGGTATTCGAATACTTTGATATTCGAATACATTCGAATATTCGAGTCGTTCTGGACAACCCTGCATGGAACCCCTATTGCTATTCTAGTTTCGTACTAATGTAGTGTTAGTTACAATCTTCTAAACCCCCAGTCATGGGTCATCCTAATCATGTCATCGAGCTGAGACATCATGCATTGAACCCACCTAGGGCGTGATAAATTGGGTAATACTGAACCGGAAAGATAATGGTTTCTCAAAAATGAGTAGCTCCTCACATATTATTAGATACCAACCAGAGGCTTGTATGGGGGATTGTTCAGAGCGAAAGCCCATAACGAACGTAGTAGGCTATATAAAATATCTCGCTGCCGTTGAGTGTTGAGTCAATGTCTCGGGTCTCCCCAACACTGGCTCGGTGGTGTGGCGCATGATGCTAAGCGTTAGAAATACGATTACCACCATGCCACACCTCTGATCACCCTGCATTAGTGCGCAGGTTCGAATCCCATGTGGGGATAGTTATGTGCAACAGGATTACTGGACTCCTCGCCATCGTAGGGTAGTTCACGTAACCGCTGGTCGACTATGGCTTGCTCCACTATCAAGTCCATGATTCCGAATACAAATAACTGGCTAACTGAACCCATACCCGAAATGGACTGGTAACCGAACAAGAGACCGTAGATCGCAATATGGTTAAGTCGTCTTCTCAACTTTCCTCTCTCCAGGGATTAATATGTAAATCCCATCCTAATGTGTATAATATCTCTCAAATCACACAATTCTTATTTATATTATTTTAGCTCACACTGGTTGAGAACAGTGCAATGATCCTACTCTGGTTTCCTAACCGCACTGTCGGAATGTGGTACAACATCCCTGCATTAATCACAGTATGGGGAGGATTCATAATTGGTGAGTTTACAAATTTGTAAATAAGTAAACTGGGTGAAGCCGCGGGCCGCATCTTTATTTAGGATAGCCTTTCTAGTAGTTGCAGCAGGCCCAAAAAATGTTGTTTTGTTATTCATCTTAGGTATGTTAGGGTTCCTTGCAGAAATGGTGAGTTAAAACGCAAAAGTATCTGAAAAAAAATGCTATTCAAATTTATTATCACACCGACTTTGAACAAACTCAGCGTTTTTATGACATTGTGTATTCTGCAATAGAATTTTGCTAGCTAGGTTTGCTAATATGACAGTGGCATCGAAGTACTGGTATAGGCTTTGTGACGCAAAGAGATTGGAATTGCTAGAACGTACCAGATTATCTAAACTAAAAACTCGTTTTGCGGGCAGACCATTCAAAATTGGCACTTCTCCGCGGGCCGCACAATATTTCCATGCGGGCCACGATTTGCACACATTTGTGAGAGAGAGATCTGTTTTTTGTCAACCAGAAAAACAAGCATTGCAACAATAATTAAAATATACAATAACGTACACAATGTTTTTTGGTATAGACAGGGGGGAACGATACGACTACACCAGGGGTGGCCGACCCTCAGCTCGCAAGCCGCATCCGGCTTTTGCGTCGGTTTATGTGGCTCTTTTCGCCTTAGTTATTCCGAAAGAAAATTATCTTGCAAACTTCTATCGCGTTTCGATTAAACATATCATGATTCGTTGCGCATATAATGTGGTTCTTCGCTGTAATAAAGTACGAATTGTGGCTCATGGTCTCTGACTGGTCGGCCACCCTTGGACTATCATGCGATAATCAGAGTCAGCTTCCCCCTTCAAACTGTTATACTATGTATTGTAAGGCTGATAAAAGATGTCGAAGTGAATTGCAATCAGGACTATAAATCCATATTTGTAACCTGCTGTTTATATGGCGTCCCAATAATAGATATAGACACTACTTGCTGCAATTTTGTGAGCTGCAGTCTATTTATCTGCTGAACCGAGTTCATCGAACATAAGTGATAATCAGTCGGAGATGAGGAAGAAGAGTTGTCCTTTCACCCTCTATTCCTTAGGGCTACATGTTTACAAACTTTAGAGGGGCATAAATTACACATTAACAATCACAAAATGGAGTTTTATTTAAAATCAGCGTTCTTTTCGTGCAAGTGCGCTGTGAGTTTTTCCCCTGATAACTTGGTGAAGCATGAACAAAAAGTTTGGAAACAGCTAATACCTGCTACACAGGGAAAACATTCAAAATCCTTAACTTGGCAATAATTGGAAAAACACATCTCATGCAGCTGTCCTAAAATAAAATCAGCTGTCTATGTCAGGGGTGTGCAACCTGCGGCGCAGAAGGAAAAATAGGGAAAACATTCAAAATTCTTAACTTGGCAATAATTGGAAAAACACATCTCATGCAGCTGTCCTAAAATAAAATCAGCTGTCTATGTCAGGGGTGTGCAACCTGCGGCGCAGAAGGAAAAATAGGGAAAACATTCAAAATTCTTAACTTGGCAATAATTGGAAAAACACATCGCATGCAGCTGTCCTAAAATAAAATCAGCTGTCTATGTCAGGGGTGTGCAACCTGCGGCGCAGAAGGAAAAATAGGGAAAACATTCAAAATTCTTAACTTGGCAATAATTGGAAAAACACATCTCATGCAGCTGTCCTAAAATAAAATCAGCTGTCTATGTCAGGGGTGTGCAACCTGCGGCGCAGAAGGAAAAATAGGGAAAACATTCAAAATTCTTAACTTGGCAATAATTGGAAAAACACATCTCATGCAGCTGTCCTAAAATAAAATCAGCTGTCTATGTCAGGGGTGTGCAACCTGCGGCGCAGAAGGAAAAATAGTGTGGGCCACGGAAAATTGTCTATTTTGAATGGTGTACAGCGAATGAAGAAGGTTTTCCAATACCTTTGCGTTTGTTATCTATGCTTATGACGTTACAATGCACAAATCCAAAAAATTGTGTCTGCAACTACTTGAAAGTCTATGTTGAATGAAGGTGAGGCCTACGGTTTCACCCAGTTATCTGTATCAGGCTCTCCTGTATTAAAGATTGCACATCCCTGGTCTAAATTATAGTTCAATATTTCTAATTAGATAAGACTATTCAAGCGATTAGAGATTGTAACTCTTCTTTTTTCAACTGCTAACACCACCACCACCACCACCACCACAGAATTATCAAATTAATTTTATTTTTGTAACAAACAATTCAATATCAAGATAACAAAGCATTTCTGTCATATACTTTCATTTACTTGTTATAAAAATATTTTAGCAAAAAATTTTACAGTGCATTAATTAGTTAAATTCATTAGATAAGAAAGTGTCAAGGTATTATTTATACAGATGGAGAGATAGCTTCAAAGTTAAACTCTCAACTCAAATGCTTGTTGTGTTTAATCAACATAACATACAGCATTATCCAAGAGAATTAGCTTGAAATCGAATTTAAAGCATTCCTATTCCAGCAGTGTTTTTGTATTGATAAACAAACAGCATTATCAATAATCGAATCGAATAATTTAATATTCAATACCAATTTTTGATTTTAAATGCCCAGATCTAAATAAATGATAATTTTTGGTTTAATATGAAACAATTCCAACGTGCCAAAAAATGAAAATTCAAAATATTGAATCGATGCCTTCTGCTGTTCACATGGCCCCGTAAAAGCATCTACTGATACATAACTATTTATAAGGAGTTAACATTTTTGGGAGGACAAGAATCTGACCGGTTCAACATTGCCTACCCATTTCATTACACCCTAAGTCAGGGTTGGGCAATTACCGGTACTTTTTTGAGTGGTTTAGTTACAGTTGATAGACTTGGGCCAGACAGACCTAGTTACTGGGCCAGAGCCTCAAAACTCATTATAAAAACCAGAACATAAAAGAGTTTATTCACAGTAGGCTAACGTTTATATATTATTAAAGACTCACAAAGTAATAATCGGGGTCATTTTGGCGTTATTTTCATCGATATTTTCAATGAAAATTTATATCCATGAAAACTATAGTCGTAATTTTAGCAGGCGCAAATGGGCGGAATGAAACATTTTGGTGTCTCGTAATTTGAACACCTCTGCTTTAAATACTCGGACACAATCAAAATTTATTTATATCGAATTTGAAAATGTTAGCAGGCAAAATTGACATTTTATATTTATAAGGCAATGCAAGCACGATTTGGATGACAGTAAAACAGCTAGAGAAAAGCAGTTCTTAGTGGAAATTATACAGCGACATAATCACAGAAAGTAATATTGTTATAAGCGTTGCGGTAGTCTGTATCCCTGAATTCGGGGGATAAGGTTTAGCTGGCATCGTCTCGAATGCTTTAAATATTTCTGTGTACTTGCTACCTTCTCTGTAATATACCGGTGGTTCTCCCATATTACTGGATACACGCCCTGAAATGTAATAAAATGAAGTTTTTTTTGTGAGTGTTCATCAATAGTTTATACTCCATAAAGTTCTTCTGCTCTCTTGTTGAATGGTCAAGAATCTGATTCAGATTTTCCATACCGGTATTTTAGTTCTATTACGAGTTCGAGGACTGTCTGTGTTAGCCAAGTGAATATACCCCTGCCCATAGGTTTCAATCCTTTTACACAACTTGATGTATATAGTAGGCAAACAAAATTAGTTACCTCCATAATGGTACACACAGTGGCGTATCTAGGGTGTGGCAGCCATGGCCTGTGCCATTTAAACATGGGCGCAAAAACGACGAAAAGTATTGATTATCAAAAGTTTCAATAAAATAATTTCAAATTGGGAATAACTGAAACTTGTATTTTTACACAAATAACAACGTACAAGTATCTCAATTTGATAATGATCATTCTAAATTGTCAACCAACTATAAAAAGGGCGCATTTTTAAACTTTGCCATGGGCGCCATTTTACCTAGATATGCCACTGGTTACACATACTTCTGGAGCGTCACTCCTCGTATATTACCTTACATTAACCAAATCTGTGAGAGTTCTCTAAATTGTAAACATAATCTCCTAACAACTTACCCAAATACCCTCCTGCAGAAGTATCTGTAGTGTTAGCTGAATCCCAGATATCAATCCATACTGCACCAGTAGGGAAGTATACATCACGCTCGTATTTACCTTGCAAAAAAAAGGATTTTAGGTGTTTATCCATCCATATGTGGGGAATTTAGTGAGCACAAGTGAAAGCTTGGTCACAAGTATTCAAATAAAATGGGAAAGACAACCCAATTACCCATAAAAGTATAGTATTGGAATTTGGAATATTTCCTTACCTTCTGTTTAAATTAAGAGAAAATTGGAAATTTCATAACATTGGCGTGTTTTTCGCTGTTACCATAGAGACGAGTATCAACTTCCTATGAAACTCACATTACTAGGGTGACAGGATAACCCATGTGTGAAACTTTATACAGATCAGTCCAGTCTCTACGGCTTTGACACACAGACAGAAGGACTGAGAATAAGGGTCTCCTAGAGCAGAGATCCAATAATACTGGAATATTTCCTCACCTTCTGTGTATATAGGTGCAACCAACAAATCAGGCCCATACATGTACTGGTCCTTAGATATCAGGTCGTCATAGCAATTGGTATCTTCTGGAAATTCAAAGAATAATGGCCGCTGTACAGGAGTGCTCGTTTCATAATATTCTTGAATGAGATCGCTTGTATAGTTGGCAAGTGAAGTATGGAGCTTAGTGAGGCGTCCGAATCGTTGAAACGTGTAGTCATCATCGTATATCTGGAAATTCAATTAGTTTCCAAATTCCAATATTGTATAAATTGCTATATCGTAAAGCAGTGGTTTTCAACCTTTCATTGGTCTGAGGCCCACTTGGGAGGGGCCACGGGCCCTCGTTGAGAACCACTGATGTAATAATGTTCATGTGACACATTTGCCTTTTCTTATACATGAATTGTCTAGCCAATTTATTGTACACCCTTGAGGGGGAACTTTAATTACTAAAAATGACAAATTTTTAAATGAAAGTGTTCAAAAATGAATATAATTCAAGTGATTCAAAAGTCTACATTCCAACACAAATATATTTCTGTAACGTTTTGTTGTAGTTAGCCCCCCAAAAACCCAATAAAACAGAAGAATATTCGTTTCATTTCGAAGAATCTCTGACCATATATACCTGCCAATTGTCTTTGGGTCTGTTTCCCTCATGCGTCCTCATATTTGGTGTAAAAACTGCTGACTCAGCAGATCTGAGAAGAAGTTCTTGGCTACGAACGACACCGTACAACGAAGTGAAACCTCCAATATCAAAATGTGAGATTCCAACTCCTGAAACAAGAAATAGGGTATGATAGGATATATATATTTATCCTGGGGGGGGGGGGGGAAGAAAGCTGATAAGACAGCCTAATCATATGACGAACCACAGCTTCTCTTCCAGTTACCATTCCATGTCGCTTATGGGATTAGTTGGTCAGTTATTTGTTTTCAGAAGCATGGACTTGATGGTGGAGGAAGCCGCAATCGTCCAGCAGTTACATGAACCACGCTGCGACAGCGAGGAGTCCAGCAATCAATCCTCTCGCACATAACCAACCCCACATGGGATTCAAACCTGGGTTCGTAGGGTAATCAAAGGTTTGGTGGCAAGCATATTCCTAGCGCTTAGCATGTTGCGCCACACCGCCGAGTCAAGAAATAGGTGAGATTTTACCCAGATAGAGGAAAGTAGATGAAATGGCGGATTTCGATTTTTGAAGTATTTTAGAACAGTTTCTAACTTTCCAAAAAATGCGATTCCACAGTTCCTTAAACAAGAAGGATAATGTTTTTATTTCTGTCATGGAGGAGAGGAGTCGATAAAATAAAGTAATCATACAGTAAATATATTAAGTCTAAATAACCAAGTAAACATAGATGCAGAGAAATGCTATATTATCTGAAGTGTTATACTTTATAAAGCTCAATTTTGTGAATTCAAAATGATTTCCGCCTATTCTTTATTGAATATGACCGAATACAGAAAATACTCGATTGTCTAGTAGATTTATATTTGAGAGTGGGTTTTTCGGTTTTGGGCTCTCTTGTCTAGAATAGTTGGTTTATTTACCTGACATTCCAAGTGATAAAGCTGCTGGTATAGTTGATACCAGTCCATCGTCAATTGACCAATCAACATTCTGATCCCCCGCCCACGCACTCATTGTGTACTTTGCTGATGCAGTGTGCCCCGCCCTCATCCAAATCTGAAAAAATGAGTTATTTTTTAATAATGATGTACCTAATTTTTATATAACTATTGACTATAAAAGCCCTAAAATGCAGCCACTGATATCTAATGACATGTTAATTAAGCGATACTATTTTTGGAAGGTCTTCATCTAATCCAAATAATAAGAATTGTAAATTTCCGAACAAAAAATTCAGCACTCTTTTTATGGATTGCTAATTTATTTCTGACTATGTAAAAACTATATTGTGACCGCTGAAACAGACATGCATCACCTACATTCGATTTTTTAGGTAGGTAGCTCTAAATGAGATTGGATTTTCATCGAATTCATAGGTCTCATATCTGCAAAAATACTCACAAAAAATTCTCCATCCATATTGCTTTCATCTACTGCTGCCCTGTTTACTTCAGCCCATAATGAAGGCCAGAGATTGTGTAGCTCCTCAGCTGATCTATACAATAAAAAGATTCTTATTCCTCATTAAAAAAATGATCAAATCTTACAAACAATTTAAGAATAGGCAGTGAGAAAACAAGAGAATGATACTTGAAAACAATGAAATGATATCTTTATTTTTAATGTGTATACATTAATACAATACATGTGTATACATTTTATTGAGATACTCTGTATATACAATTTGTATAATATATTCAAAAATACAGAAATATTATTTTAGATTTTATTCAGAATAGCAGGGGGAATGTGGAATCATATTTGTTACAGGATAGCAATGCTCAAATACAGGATGTCTTAAAATAAATAGAAAACCCATTTGTTCGATTACCAATTTTGTGGGTTTATTTATTTTGGGACACCCTATATAAGGAATATGTAGTAAATATATCGTGAGTAACTCGGGTAAAGACTTATTCATAGCAAAAAAAGCTTTACCTACCTTCCGTCATGAAATATTTGACCGTCTACTGGTAGATATTCTCCAAAATCCGCCATCCACCCTGAAACAAGGAATTTAAAAGTTTATTTCAGACTAGCAGGTATTTAGTTCAATGGTTCCCAAACTTTTATTGCTTGTGGGCCATGACCCCCTTCTGGGAGCGTTTAGCACTCATGGCCTCCCTGTTTATCATTCCAGTGGTATTTATAGTGTTATTTTGATTGGTAGGTTACAAGTCCCATTATGTTCAAACAATTCATGATCAATATATTTTGGGTTCAAATTTCATGCCCACCACTAGGGGTGGTTGTGAGTCTGAACTGCCCCCCCCCCCCCCTTCTTTTGAAATGTAAAAAAAAGCATGCATAGCAATTTTTTGTAGCTCGAAACGGTTTTCAAACCCTAAAGACTCTTGAAAACCCATGTTTTTCAGCAGGACCTGCTTGCAATTTGACATTTCAGAATCCCACCTCCCTCCCTCTGGAAATTCATGGAAACGCCCCTGCCCACCACTTTAGCCAGGGTGTAGTAAACTGGGTGGCGATGCCGAACCAGAAAGATTTATGTGCACAAATAACGTACCTCCAGAAGTATGGCCACCAAGATGGCGCACAACCTGAACATAGTATGTGTGTACCGGCTGGGATTCAGGTTGTTCGACATCTTGGTGTGCATACTTCTGGAGCACCAAAATAACTTTCGTGAAAGTCAGAACAAATCCTTTGTGAATTACCTCTAAATCCGACATCTATGAGATTCGTTTTGATGACGTTTTTATACCAGTTGAATGCATCAGGGTTCGTCAGATCCACTGTTCCGCAGAAAAACTCCCCAAAATCACTTACATGGTTCTTACCATCCTTTGCTTTCACAAGATAACCTGGAATTTTAATAAATGAAAATAGTTTACTATTTGCAGGGTTTTCTCAACGAAGAGGAATTCTCCCTATGGAGAATTTTTTTATTTTTATTTTTTGGGGGGGGGGGGGGGGGGGGAGGGGGATATTACTTTGTATTTTGGTGTAGTTTTACAAATAGTGTTTAGTATTATTGTGACACAAATTTATAGACAGGTTAGAGATGCTGGGTTCTATTTCCATTACCTCACTCAGGAGAACAATAAACTAAGCTCTGCTTAGAGAATATAACTTGGAATCTCATATTTGAATGTTGTTTAACCTTGGTGAAATAAAATTAAATGGGCAGTGCCCAACAAGAAGAATTTTGATCTCCTTACATATCATTGATGATTTTATAGAGAATTGTCCAGTGTGAAAATGCAACATTCATAACCTAATGAACCTAATTCTGATGGGACTGCATATTCAAGATTATGGTTTTGAATTTCAAACTACATGTCCACTACCTCTTATAGAAAAACTCAAACTGAAAAAATTTTGGTTCAAAATAGCAGCCTCTTGCTTATCAAGTGCGCTCGTAGCGAGCCTTGTTCAGAGAGGATGCATAAAAAGCCTCAGAAACTCACCCAAGTCACTTGCATTCTCATACAATTCTCCTTTATCATTAAGATATGGGTTTATGTATGCTGTAAAGTAGACTCCTTCTTTAGCTTTGTCTTGCATGATTTGCCTGATGTTTGGGTAACGGGTCTCGTCGAGTTTCCAATCCCAGAATAATCTTGTCCCAAACGAAGTTGTGATTTGACCAACCCAATCTTGAATCCAGATTCCAGATACTTTGACATCGTTTCTGATTGCCTGGTTAAAGAATTTGCTAAGTTCCTTTGTGATGTGAGATATGCAATGTACCTCCTTCATTCCTGACCCCCAATGAAAAGAGCCAGGGTCATTTGGACCTATACTGGAGATAGCTAAATTTCTGTGCGAAGAGTCCTAAATTACAGACTAAACTTCTGGGTACAATTATAGACGCTCCTATAGTATGCGCACCAAGATGGCGTAGTATGTGTACCTGGTTAGGTTTAGGCCATAACATTATTCCGATATCCCTTATTTTAGTTCTATTACGAGTTCTGGGACTAGCCGAATGACTTCCGTAGTATTTTAAGCTGAAATTATGGCTTAACCCTAACTTGGTACACATGCTACTTTCTGGGTGTCCGCCATCTTGATGCACATACTATGGGAGTACCCAATCATAAACAAACCACATACTATGCCCAGAGAAGTGTTTAGACTTGAATCCAGAATCCAGATACTTTGACATCGTTTCTAATTTCCTGGAAATTTAACTCTATATTGCATGAAGTATAGGGTGTCTAAAAAGTTTTTTAAAATTCCAAAGGGAATTAATCGATACCATATATTGTTTTGGCCCTCAAAGATGTATTAAATGAAGTAAAAATACTTTAAATTTAAAATTACTGATTGAAAAACAACAAACCTGGTTATGTTATATTGAGAACTGTCTTCATAACAAAATTGAAATTGTAAAGGGACTTTATGGACACCCTGTATTTCTAATATCATATAACTATTTAGTATCATTGCACATTATAAACTACTGGTAATCTGACAGTACAAAACTAAGCCACAGTATGTGTACACTAGTTAATGATCCACTAATTATTGAACAGCAAATGGAAACGGTTTTATGCATAAGAAGAAAAAGAGTTTCAAAATAGTTGAAGAAATCTATTGAAAAGGGTTTTGTACATCTGCTTCCGCCACTAGTAATTCACCTGATCGTATATCCCCATCACAGTGTCAGTTCCTCCTTGCAATCCAAGCACTGCTCCTCCATTGTATGACCAAGGAGCCAAGGTTGGACGGGTGAGACCGCCAAGAAGATAATCTGAAATGATTACAGGGATTTAGGGTTTGACTTAGGGATGAATGTATCTGAAAAATTTACTCTTTGGAATGTAACCAGAAAATGGGTTTCATGAAATATAAAAATACCGGTAGTTATTCATTGCGACTAACCTTTATGGTTGCCTCAACTAGAATTTTATCTAATGTGGTGAGCTTGTCTCCAGCTTTAACAAAATACCACTATTGTTCAGGGCCGTGGCAAGGAATTTTAAGAAAGAGGGGGGTCAAATTTTTAGTTGCCATGTCAGACCATAACAGCTAGTCTTGAGAGTGTATGAAACGTTCCTAGCTATGAAAAATTGCTATGTATGAAAAATGCTTTTTTCCACATTTTAAACAGGGAGGTTGCAACCCGCATCTCCCCCACATGGGTGCACCACAGCCTTGCCAGTCCTTCACAGTCCCGCGTACCCCACTGGCACTCGGGGTAAATTCCATGGCGTTGCTTCTAGTTAATTGGAATAATATGTATGAAAATCATTCACCTGCTGTTCTCATTGTAATGTCCTTCCAATCTTTTCCAATATGGAAGTCAAACTGAAATTCTTTATCTTCCCAGACTTCAACCTCGCTGAAATCATCTTGCGTGAAGTCAAACACACTAAATAAATCATAGTTGTTTTATTTGATCAATAAGTAATAGGATATTACTATAAAAGTTTAATACATAAGATAGGATTCACATATTTATCCCGAGAGAGAGGAAAGCCGATACCACAGCTTAATCAAAAGGCAAACCACAGCCTCTTGTCAGGTTACAAGTCCATGTCGGGTATCGGATTAGTTAGCCAGTTATTTGTTCTCGAAAGCATGGACTTGGGCTCGTTAAGATATATTAAGCACCAGCTTCATAGCAAAATTTTAACAGGACTTATTTCAGATTGCTCGCCGAATAGTAGTTTATTCCCTTTGACCAGGGGTTATTAAGGTTTTAAGACCAGGGGCCAAAACTTTTGCTCATTTAGACAGCGAAAAGTGTAAGTGTGACAATATTTACAGTGTTACAAAAGCATAAGTGAAAAACAATGAACCTCGTGCCAAAACTAAAATTAATTGCAGTCTCAATAAATTCCTATTTTTAAGCTAAAACATCAAAATTTTTTTCTAGTTTGCTTGTAGTAGCATCAAGCGGGCCAGATTGAATTACCCAATGGGCCGGATTTGGCCCACGGGTGGTAGTTTGTCCATGCCAGCCCTAACTATCCCCACCTGTACTTTGAAGAAGTCATGACAGCTGAATACAACTTGTCAGTATAGAATAATGGTTCTGGCCAGTATGTTGTGTGGTAATCTCCCCCTGCCCCTCCATCTTGGGAATCCGCCTAGGATAAAATGTTCAATTATTATCTTAAGCAGAGGAAAGCTGATATTTTCCTTATTATAGTTCTATTACGAGTTCGGAGACTAGCCATGTGACTCCCGTAGTATTTGTATCTACAATTATGGCCTAACCCTAACCTGGTACACATACTACGTCCCAGTGTCCATTTTTTCAAAAAATTGAAAATTTCCTTTACTTTCTAGTGAGGGCACGTGACCTCGCTTGGGGCAAACTCTTTAATAAATATAATCACAGCTGTCAAGATGGTGGAAATGTGGATTAAATTTTGCCTTTGGTCATTTCTGACTTTTCATTAAAACACTTTTATTAGAAAACCAACACAAAAAAAAAATTCTTTTGTAATTTCAACATTAACCTTCTTGCCTGGAAATCCAATATTAAAAATAATACCCTGGATTCGGTTTTGGACTTAGATCTCTAACTCACAATGTTGGAATACTTTTATCTATTCAACGCTTCAACCACTTACTAAGAATGTCATATTCGTTGCTTTGTTTCTCCCCACACCCTGCTCTCTTGTCCAGATAGGGAATGATTTTCCCTTCATATTGAAAAAAGAAAATTGTTCCCCACCTCCGTAAATCTTCTCATTGGCAGATGAAACAAACCTTAACCAGATTCTGAAAGTACACAGTTGTAAATCATGCTGTTAATTAAGTTTTTATGATTGGATTTTCATATTTATGCCATGGGAGAAGAAAGGTGAGAAGGTGGTTCAATCCTATGGCAAACCACAATACTCCCGTAGTGTATGTACTAGGTTATGGTCAGGGCATAATTTTATTTCGATTTTCCTTATAGTAGTTCTATTACGAGTTCGGGGACTGCCTGTGTTAGCCAAGTGAATATACCCTCTGCCCATAAGTTTCAGTTCCTCCACACAACTTGATGTGAAATAGGCGAACAAAATTATTTAGCTCCATATTGGTACACATACTTTTGGATCGCCTTTTTAATATTATACCTGTCATATCCCGCAGTCCAGTTTCCTATCACCAAACTCAGTCCATCAGCATCTGATGCATTTGTCAGTGTGAGTTTTGCTTCTACTAATCCTGGTGTGTCTACATCGGCTGTTGTATGGAATATAATTATAGTATATTATATATTATATTAGTATGATTTATTTTGATTCGTGCTTTAAACAAAAGTCTTTGATGCCAAGAAATTATTATATGAAAAATGTACTGCATAGGATTAGGGATTAATTATCTTTTTTTTCGGATCAAGTGCTTTTCACTCAGACAAAGCTCTGTGCAAGAACCATTATAAGAATCTGCTTAATTTTGAAAGAACTGGAATCTTTCTGGTTGTCATTGTCTACTCAATTAATTACACTTTGAGTAAGGCCATAACGCCCACAAAAACTGGGTCAGCATGTATTCAAAAGTAGGGTTCAATAAAGTCCCCACCGCTCAGTGAGGCAGATTGCAAGAAATTTCTTATAAAAAAATATGAAAAAAAAAATTTTCTGGGTCCAGTCAAAAATTTTGACTCCTTAATACGATATTTGTTTGTCTGAATGCTTCAAGGATTTCAAATCTCAAGTTTACACGTTGAATTTTGACAGATATCTCAAACTCCACTGCTTCGAGTAGACTGAAGAGTGAAGACTTATATAGTCAGAACCGCAAAACTTACGCTCTACTGTTGTGACTGAAAAGCCGCATAACTCCTTTCAATCGAATTCAAAATTTTTAATTCTGAACACTTTCCATATGAACAATTTTTCATGATAAACATTTGACTTACGTGTGCCTCCAATATTCCTGAATGTTACAGACTCGCATGTACCAGGTGAAATCAGGCCACTTGTAGAAACTGTGAAATAGGACAGAGCTATTTTTGCTGATGTATAGTCTGTTATCTGAAATAATAAGATGAAATAAATGTATACTGTTATCTAGAGCAGATAAGACATGGGTAGTTTATTATCTGACATCGATAATGTATTGCGGTAGTTATCTTTGCTGAAGTGAGTCAGTGATATGATATAATAAGATAAGTGTTATCTGACACATATAATGTATTCAAATAATCAGTGGTACAAACCAAGTTAAAAAATTTCTTTCTTAGGGTTTTTCACAACACATCAATAAAATGTTTAGTTCCACAATATGGCATAAAGCAATTTGAATTTGATTTTCCATTGTTATTAATACTATATATGAATATGTGCAAATTACAGTACGTTTTAGTTAGTGTTGACGCCGGCAGATTACTGGTAAATTCGCTGTTGTTGAGATATGCCCAAATGTTCTAGCTATAAATCCACATGTGTCTGTATATTATTATTTTTAAACAACTCCCAACTCAAACCATCTTGTGGTTGGAAAAGTATGTGGTGATAAATGTCTGGGGCGAAACGTCCATGGGATGGTCAGTCAGTATATTCTTTAAATTAGAGATGGGCAATGTTTTTGGACCAGGGGCCTGAACATTTTGCCTACCTAGACTGGCAGGCCATGTAAGTGTGACATAAATAGCCAATTTCAACAAATTCTTTGAGTTATTTTCAGCCAAAACATCAAAATTAGGTTTTAGTTTGCTTGTGGCAGCATCAGATGGGCCATATTAAATTACCCAATGGGCCGGATTTGGCCCGCGGGTCGTTGTTTGTCTATGTCAGCTATAAACCAACTAAGATACTTACATTAAAATTTCCTCTGTATTCGGTAATACCAGTTTTTCCATTTCCACTATGAACTGCAGCATTAGATGGGGTGTGGCTCAGCAGTAACACTTGTTTAGGTGTATGCATTGGCGCTAGAAAAAAATTTTGTTTTGTTTGAGTTTTGAGATCCACTTTGCTGACTTTTAAATGATCTCGCTTTCTCAATCTACATAAAAATGCTTCCATACAACTAGGCAGACTCTTTATTTTTACATTTCATATTTTCGGCGTGTGCGAGGAATGATGCCAGGCCAACTCAATTACCATATGGCAAATTTTGGTCTCTTGTCTAGTTACCAGTCCAGGTCGAATATGTGGAGAGTTAACTAGTTATTCGTCAGATGAATGTACTTGGTGATGGAGGAAACCATGCCAAACCAGCTGTTACATAAGAATAATTTTAGTTTTAATGTCTGTTTTGATGACTTTTAATGGTCCTAAAGACTCCTAATGTTTTCATACAACAAGAAGGACACTCCATTTTTAAATTCTCACATTTATGGGCGAATGAGAGGAAGGATGCTGGAATGACTCAATCTTACGGCCTCTCGCCTGGTTACCAGTCCATGTCAGGTATGAGAATAGGTATCCGGGTATTTGTCAGATGCCTGGACTGGTGGAGGAAACCGTAACCGTCAAGGTGTTACGCGAACCACTTTGCAGCGGTGGTGAATACAGCTAACCTCTCACACATAATTATTCCCCATATGATTAGAACAATGCAGGGTAACCAGAAGTGCTAAGGCAAGAAAACCAACACCTCACCCAGGATGTATTAGATTGGGTGAGCAATGTCAAACCGAAATAAGTCCTTCCAAAAAAGCTGTACCCCCACATATATAATCAAATATCAGAAGCTGTTTGTGTGGAGCCTTGTTAGGAGCAAAAGACAAATATATACTTTGTATAAAACAATAACCTTGGTCCACCAAATTCAAGGTCAAGGTCTGAGCAACTTCATCATAGATCAATCGAAATCTTGCATTCCCACTTTGTGAGTCAACAATACATTCTTCTTTTGCACAAATGATTTGTTTGGTCATAAAGAGGATTATTGTGATGAAACAATGGTACTTCATTTTGTCTTCAGAGAAATATCAATGACCAAGAGAGTTTAGTTCTATTAATACTATTTTATAGGCTTAGAAAGTGACAAATATTTTGTTAGGAATTAATCAAATAAAACAGGAAAAATGATTACAACGCAAGATTGTAATGCTTTCTAAAACGCTTTCGCCTTCTTTATAATGGTTTATCTTGATTTTCCATCTGGTGGTCACTGTTGAATGTTCAATAAACTTCAAAATTATATTTACCGGTATTATATCTGCAAAAAAGGAATTGCAGTTTTAAATATGCATTAAGTGTTAATTTGCAAAAGGCGCAAATAAATATCAGTTAAAAAATGATTAATAAAAAAACTTTGAAATTTATACTACTCTCATAAACAATTAATCCTCAATTAATAAAATTCAAATTATTCCAATTTCTGCCTAATCTCACGCGCACATCCATATTATGTTCTGACCTTTTTCACCTCTTTAAATAAAATGTCTGCATCCCGTTTATAAACTGCTGGCTGTTAATCTTTTACAGTCTTCTCAAACAAATCACGTCATATTGACACATGTTTAGTGCACGCTGTTTCAGTTTTATCTAAAAACATATTTGAGTAGCTGATAACACAGGTCATGCTAACGGGTCAATGGGAGCTTTATAAATTTTTGTTAAGTAAAGATGCTTACTTCAGTGGTGTGCAACCTTTCCTGTGATGTGACCCCCTTTCATAAGCTTTCAGCACTGATGGCCCTGTTTATAATTCCCGTGGTATTTACCGGTATAGTGTTTTTTTTAGTAGATTCCGAATCACATTAGGTTCAAACAATTCATGCTCAACGTAGTGAAAACACTAGGGAGAACGAGGAGTTTTCTTGTAGAAATAAAAGTGAAATCAGTTTTTGTGCCTTGCATTGTGGCCCCTCCCAACTGATCTGTGGCCCCCTTGGCAAGCCACGGGCCTTCGGTTGGGAACCGCCGGCCTATGTAATATTGGTGGCCTTGTCTATTGTCTGGTTTGAAGCGGAGTGCCCTGAACAAGGCTCTGCACATTCAGCTAATGATATGTAAAGAGCTCATTTATTATTTGGAAAGACCAGAATATGTCTCGTTTATTTCCTAGCTGACTTTACTGGCTTTTTTTTATTAAACCACTGAGAATTGTTTCATTATGTTTGCGATTCTATTGCTTGGTTTTCAGCAGTGTTTGGATCAAAATGGGGTCAATCTGATAATAGGCAGTGAGAAAACAAAAAAATGATACTTGTAAATATTTTTACACTTTTGAAATAATGAAATTACTGGTTTATGGTTATTTTTATTGTGTATACATTAATAAAATACCTGCGTATACATTTTATTGGGACACCTTGTATAAATATGGTTATATCCAAAATAATTATTCAGGTCAGTGAGTATTAAACCAGACCCAGCCCGAGCCGGACTAATTAACTGGATTTGCGGGCCCGAGCCCGAAGCAAACCCGAATTTTCATATTTTTCATTTAGGAGTTCTTTGAATTGTCATTGCAAAATTTTAGTACAGTATGCGTATCCACACATAGTTTTAGTATACCTACCGGTATATATTTTTATAAACATATATTTAGAGAAGCCCAGCCCGACCCGAACGTAATGATTGACATTTCAAGCCCGACCCGGCATGAATTTCGAGTCGAGCTCGGGCTCCAGATCTTATCTCTAATTGGGATATCCTTATTAAAACCAAACATCTTATGCTACATGCTATGTGGTAAATCCTACTTATTAGAGTTTGCTTATCTAGAGCAGGGCTACTCAATTGGGGGCTCGCGGTTGACTGAACCTTTTGAGTAATTGATTTGAACCGCACCTGATTCTTTATTTTGGATCATTGCCCCCACTTTGGATATGTGAAGGTTTCCTTTTATCAAATGCGATTATGAACAATGCGAATAGCGCTATCTTGATTAGTGAATATGCACGTTCAAGGATGTCGAAATGTAATTTCTTAATTAAGACCGGACCACATAATTTTGAAAGTTTTGTATCCTTGGTAAAATTAGTTGAACAGCTCGGGTCTAGATACTTGTTCTGAGTGATGATATGAAAAAACAGTTTATACGATCATGATTGTGATTAGAACATCACCTTCTCTCCAAACAAGGCCATTTGCAAGCATGAACTAGTTATCCTATTAGGGGAATAGAGTCGATATAAATTGTTTTCCAGGGCAGTGACCCTGTTGTAAAAGTTGAAGCACCTTTTTCAATTATATTTATGGGTGGTATAGGGTATTTGAATAGTTTTATGATGTCCAGTAAATAGTAGCATTTATGGCAAGGGTTACCGCAATTCTGCAAGTACCCCAACTTAGAATTGAATTACATTATTTGCGAAGATAAATGGTCCCATTCTCTTTTATGATTTAGGGTAGTAATGCTCCTGCAAATATTAGTAGAAATTAAGTTGTCTGACTTTGAAAAGACTCTAGACATCTCTAAACAAGCCACTCCTATTGACTTCTTTACAATTATATTCATGGGCGTTATGGGATTTTTGAAAAGTTTTATGATTGCCGCCTTTGCCGGTAACATTTAAGGGTTGCTTCAGGTAATAGGAACTTTGAGATTAATTGGTTCATTATTTGTAAAGATAAATGAATTTCACAACACTTGTGTAGAAAAAAGATTCTCACGACAAGACTAACAGTATCAAATTGGAATAGCGATAAATACATGGTCACACTGTTATTGGTGGATTTCAATTATATTCACAGGGGTTGCAGGCTTTCCAAATAGTTTTCTGATTGTTGGTAACATTTATGATGAGGATCACTGCAAATACTGCAATTTTGAAATTATCATAATTGGTCCTTTATCCGCAAAAAAAGTATTCATTAACCCACAAGAATAACACAGGAATGGCCTTATGGCCCCACTTTTATTTGCGTCTTTTCGATAATACTTACGGGCTTTATATAGGGTATTTGGGAAATTTTATTATTCCAGATTTACATCATCGTTACTTTTATGGACTAGGGTTAGAAATGCTTTTAAAAAAATTAGTAGAAATTTAATTTGAGTTTATATTTCATTTTTCTGACTTTGGTCATGTGAAAAGTTGGAAGAGTTACTTCTTGATGAATGCCAAGGAATATGAAAGATTTTATTCTGATGAGCTTTGAACTTATCAAATAGATATCAAAAAGTTGTCCAAATTACTTTTAAAATTATGAAAAAGAAAAAAGAATTTATAGATAAATTTGAAAGATATAAAAGCAATAGCTGAGCAGATCCAACTATCTTCAAGTACTAAAAATTTCAAAGCAATTGGTTCTTTAATTACAGAGAATAATGATTTTCTACAACATGAATATCAGTATTGAATAGGGTTATATAGGGTGTTCATGAAGAGTTGAAATTGCAAAGGGAATTTATCGATACCATATTTGTTTTGGCCCTCACAGGTTTATTATGAATTAAAAAAAAAACAATTATTGATCACAAAACAACAAACTTGGTTAAGATAGATGGAGAACTGACTTCATAACAAAATTGATCGTAAAGGGACTTTAATAAGGACACCCTGTATGGTCCCAATTGCTATTTGAATAGTTATTTTGCCAGCATAATGATGGCAGGTTAATAACAGGGATGGATAATCACCCCAATAGCTGTTCTCATTCATAGAGGACTATTGGGCTGCCATATACCCCATAGGTTCTTAAAGTGCTCCATACGAAGCCCCAGGGCTTCGTTAGAGATACCCAGCGGCTCTGTGAGCTATTCATTTACTCATTAAAATACTGACTTGGTTAATTTTGTAACTTTCCAAAGAAGCAATAACAAAATTTGACAGTAAATAAATCCAAGTCATTAAATAAAGTAATTTTAATTTACTCAAAACATTAATCAATAAGTAACAATGTTATTTTTATTTTTTATAAATTCATTTTGGCACCGTAAATAATAGTCTACCTCTCCAGTGGCTCCATAACACCAAAAGTTTGAAAACCCCTAGCATAGAGAACCAACGTAGTTGATTAGCTCCTCAATATTTCCTAGAATTTTAATAAAACCTTGTGATTTTGCCTGAATGAAACAGTTCCCCTCTTCAAAGTTAGAGTGCCAGTGATGTACTTAAAAAAATCACCCTTAGAGGCAGTCTTCCTTCTAAAGTGTGCGCGTGTGCGCGCGCACACAGCTTTCAGAGGCTGCGCACACGCATAGATTTACTGCGCACAGACGTATTTCAATGTAATGTAACAATGTTCTCGGTTGGCAGGTTGAGAAAGTTTGTTGTTGGTCCACCCATTACCTGGTTAGGACGCCAAAATTTTTTTATTTGTTTTTGCACAAATATTAGTCATTTCCAAAAAAGTGTGGACACACCAAAATTTCTGCGCACACATACTACAAAAAATTAGAGGGAACATTGCTTGGAGGGCTAATGGGCTGCAATATAGACTAAATCGAATGTAGGTAATCTTGATTAAGACATATTCGGATCTAGCTTTAGTTGAACTCCCAAGATATAAATAAACATGTTGCCACATTCCATACTATCAACGCCCTCATGTTTGTGAGTCTGTAACATGTTTACTTTAGTTTCGAAACATGAAAATCTACCTCTATCTCATAGTACATTGAATATAATGCTCCCAGTCATTCACCTTCGCTTAAATATAATGATTTAATGATGATGTAATGTTTACGGCGCTCCAGAAGTGTGTGTACCAATATGGATGTAACTAATTTTGTTTGCCTATTTTACATCAATTTGTGTAAAGGGACGGAAGCCTATGGGCAGGGGGTATAATCACCTGACTAGGTAATGTTTACTGCTGTATCCAGGGCGACTATGAGTAGGTATTTGAGAATTAGTGTGGGTGTCGCCCTTGCTGTGGCAACAGCGTATTTTTTCTTTTACATATCAGCGAGAAATCTGAATACTATTAACAAATCTCTTTTCTCTTCATGGTGTTTCACATTTTCAGTCCAAACAAGGTTCTAGATAGGTGGTTTTTAAGGAGTTGCTATTTTTTGAAGAACATACCATAAATTACTTACACCCTGTATAAGACGTTGGGCATAGGGTTTGAATAACATAGTTAGGTCCACAGCCAAACTATTAGGCCAGCGATCCCAAAGGGGCGCCGTGACGATTTGCTCGTTAAACATACCTAACTAATATATGATTGAACATATGAAAATATTTGCCTACATGTTAACAAACTTTAAAAAGCATAAAATACAAATAACAATCACAAAATTGAGTTTTATTTGAAGGTGACAAATTTTTTTTTGTGTAGATGCACTATGAGTTTTTTCCTCTATAACTTGGAGCCGCACGAACAAAAAATTTGGGGAGCGCTGTACTAGACCATTGTGCTCATTTCACACCTGATTGGTAATACACATCTTGTGTAGCTGCCCTAAATATAAAACCTGCTGTCTATATGGCATCGGGAATGGACGAAATCGAATAATTCATAATTCACATTTTTAATTAATAATTTTGAATAGGACCTATTGAATATGTTTGAAATCGGGCCATGTACAACAGTAAAATCATTGTGCGTTCATAGAATTGGAGATAAAAATTGTCTGGCCATCTTATACCAAACTCCATAGCAGTGTTTCCCAACCTTTTATGGCTCGTGACCCTCTTCTGAAGGCTTTTACTTTAGCACTCATGGTTCCCCTGTTTGTCATTACAGTCGTATTTATAGTGTTATTTGATTGGTAGGTTCTGAATCCCAATTAGGTGCAAACAGTTCATGCTCAACAAAGTAAAAACACTCTGTGAAATAACCTTGTCAAGCAATGAAACTGTGATGAACAGGGAGTTTTTTGTAAAGGAAATAGTGAAATAAGTTTTGTGCCCCCTTGTGGATCACAGGCCTCGGTTGGAAACTGCTGCTTTGTAGTTTGAAATTTTTGAATGGAAATATTCTTACTAAAATCATATATTTATTGAATTAAATATATCAAAATTTGAAAGTACTCGAATAATGCATTCACTTTGGAAATTAACAATATTTTAATAATGAACTGTTTATTTTTACAGGTTTGCTGTCTATGCTGTTGTATTATCGCTACTTCCATCCTTCAAGCAAGAGAAAATGTCACTGTTGCATGATCTACTACCATCTAGTGTATCGTTTGTGCCCATGTAACAATGCCACTGCATTTCACGGAACTCCATATAAAAGCGCTCGTCAAGATTTTGCAGACTCTGAGAACGAATCCAGCTTTGAAAATTACGATCCTGTAAGTGCCACTCGCGATCACGAACAAATTCCTAGATTTACAGAAAATCGGAAAACAGCGAAAAAAGAGACACTAGATGGCAATGGAGGCAATGAATGGGATTCTGATAGCGAATATGGCGAAAATCTTCAAGTGAAAAAATACGAAAAAGCAAAAAATTTTGAAAAGGGAAGAAAATGGGCACATAAAACACAACGACTAGGTCTTGAAGTTTCAGAGGAATATGAAAATGACAAAAATACTTTACTTATGCCAAAACCGAGAGCTACTTCTACGCCTGGAGACGAAATTGAAGAAAAATTTGTCAAAAAATATCAAAATTTACACAAGTTAACCCAAAATAAAGGCGTAATTTTTGAAGACAGGCCAGTTTCATTTACATCTTTATCAAGTAGTACAGAGTCTTTTAATAACAGCAAATATTTGACTTGCCCAAACAAATCACCTGATAATGTTGCTTTCACTGATATGGTGACCACGACCCCTACTGCTTTGAAAAACCTTCCCGGGGCCAACAACACTCCCGGTACAAATAAAGGAAATTCCACTCTTGTGAGAGAGTGGGTCAAAAAGGCTCAAGACATGTACGGCCCAAAAAGTTCAGATGATAAAAACGGCGATGGTTCCGAAGCAGGCGGCGGTGCGTATAACGATTTTGGGACCCTTGGAACGCGCCATGCTACTAAAGATGAGCGTGACTTCATGGAAGCACATTTTGGGGATCCCGCTTCAGGTCCTAGCGGAAGAAGAGACATCCTAAGATTAAAATCATTTAATAAAAAAGACCGACAGCCGCCTAAAAAGCGCGCTAAAAAGAGAAGAAAAAGTGATTATACTGTATCTGATTTAAGAAACACATTTAGAGAAGCATTCGGTTTTCACGCAGTGGAACAAGATCAAGTGTCTGAAAGCGACGAAGAAATTGCGAAACAAACAAAAATCATCAAAAAACAACCGAACAGGAAAATCAAAACGAAGACTTGGGCGGAGACTGAAATTGACCCGGTTACTGTAGAAACCAAACAAAAACAAGCTGCAAATTTAAAACCAGTTAATAATTCTCACAAAATTGATTTTGTTCCGCAAAGAGTGAATGTTATATTAGCTAGAGTGGACAAGCCCCCCACAATGGAAGACCTACTATCATATAAATGTAATTCTAAAACCAATACTGCTACTTTAAATAAAGATAAACTTGAGATGGAAAATTTCGACGAAAATAAACTTGCAAACGATGGAATAGTTAACCTTGAAATTGGATGTCCAGTTCCGATAGATCAGCTCAAAATTGATATGGAGAATCTACATGGAACTCCAATATCAGTTCCGCTGAGCTCAGCAAATTTTGACAGCCAATATGATAACCATGGACTTGGTGTTTCAGATTCAAATCGCCATATTCAAGATAATAGAGAAGAGCCTTGCGTCGTGTACCACAATGTTCATCAATATATAGATGATGGTAGCCCTTCTTATGATGGTAAAAATCTTGAATCGACTGATAATTTCACCACTTGTATAGATGAGGTGGTCGGAGTTTCAAGATTAACAAGAGACTCCTTGCACCACGTTGAAAATGGAGAAGAAAGATCTGAGATGAATGCTCATGTTCCGCCATTAGAGGATGGTAAAATACGAAAAGTAGATGGACAGACTAAAATAAAATGGAGAAAGCCTTCTAATGATTTGGATTCTTCAAACGGGTCTCAAGATAATAAAAGAAATGGTAAAGATGGAAAAAATAGTGGTGGCAATATAATAGAGAAATCTGTGTATGATAATTTAACAGCTTCTATCTTAGTTGGGCCTGATATGGCTTCGAATTTCGAAGGACTGTCAAATTTGGAAACAAAGGATGAAAGTGCGAAAACGCTAAATTCTTGTGTCAATTCTGATAGTGGTGATGTGTTTGGCCCTGTTATATGTATACAAGGAGGAAAAGTAATGATCAAGCATAGAGATATTGATGATAATGACCTTTCTGAGAAACATAAGTTAAATTTGAACCCTGCAACTGGTGATCAGGTTGATCAAAATGAAAAACTCATCTCGAGCTCTGGATTTGATGCTGAAAAAATGAAGAATGAAAATAAACCGAATGTGAAGCTCAATTCTAACCCGGGATGTCCTGCTCCAGCGATCAAAAAGACTTCAGACATGTTGAAACCTGCTTGTAATGGAACAATGCGTCGAGATAGGGTTGAATATTTATATAAAATTGGGCGCAGCGGGCTCAAAAAAGCGGTTCAAGATTCTCCTGCGAGAAAAAGACTTTTGTTTAAAAAAGATGACAAATGGTGTGACGAAAGTGACCTAGAATCTAATTTTCACGAAGAAAACGAAGTAATAAAGCAAAATTGCAACAAAAATGATAAAACATCACCAAGAAATGAAAATTCCACAAAAAATGAGCAAAGAGGTGAAAATTCAACCCATAAAGCTAAAAAATCTGGCAACAAAGAGATGGAGCATAGCATTGAAGCTTTAGGAAAGAGTATGGAAGGGATCGTAGACGGAGGCGAGAATTATATCATCCATATTCATGGTGATGATAAAACAAAACAAAGCAGAAAATCTTCAAAGTCTTCAGGAAAAGGAAGAAGAATCAAAGAAAAATCTTTTCCGAAACAAAGAAGAACACTAGGTTCCATTGAGAATCATTAGCTGAAGTCTTCGAGTTTCCTGGTTCCTGTTCTCAAGGTCAACTTAAAAAGGCCTTTGCAACCTGTGTGTCCGCTCCCACAATAATTCATCTTATAAATTTTTAAAAACTTCGCTGCGCTTATGACTCGTAAAGTCACTTTATCTTGCAATAGTTAAAGCTGATCCTGATAGTTTGAGTCTTCGAGTTTCCTGGTTCCCGGCGTCAACCTAAGAAGGTCTTTGCAGTTCATGTGTTCGCTTCCATAAGTCCCACGATAATTCTGGGTATAAGTTATTAAAGACTTTGCTACGCTTAAGACTCATTGTCGTGAAGTGATGTCATTTTCATCCAACAATAGTTAAGAATGATCCTGCCAGTTCGAGAATCATTAGCTGGAATCTTCAAGTTTTCCGGTTCCTGTCCCATGGTCAGTCTAAGAAGGCTTTTGCCATGTATGTGTGCACACTTCGGTACCGATGTCGACGCCTTGTGGACGCTTCACTCTTCGGGCCTACTATCCTGGCCTGAATATCCTTCAGCTTTTAATTTTGGCCTCCAGTCAATCAACTTTGGGAACCACTGCTGTATAGAACTCAGAACAGCAATTCGAAATGTTTATAGTACACCATGTTCAATCAAGTCATTACTGCCACGGAAACCCTAGTAGAATATTGATAGAGGTCAGAAGACTTGATTCAATTCAACGCCACACTGCCAGGAAAAAGCCTATTTAGATGCAATAACAAACTGATTAGCTTCTTACTATTTATTGTCGCGCATCCTTTTCTTCGTTTTTGCTTTATTCAATCATTTTATTTTTTGTGTCATAGCTTGTGTTGTGTCGAGTGTAATATTTTCTGCTTTTTCAATCAAATTCAATCAATCCTTTTTAAATTTTGTTTATAGTAACTTTACCTGCCTAACAGAGAACACATAAGTACATTCAAGGGTACTCCTGAAGTATGTGTACCAAGATGGCGGATACCAGAACATAGTATGTGTACCAGGTTAGGGTTAGACCATAATTTTATTCTACTTTACCTTATTTTAGTTCTATTACGAGTTCGGGGACTAGCCAAGTGACTTCCGTAGTATTTGTACCGGAATTTATGGCCTAACCTGCTTCCTGTTCCGGGGGTCAGCCTACGGATCAAGGAAAACAATTACAAACTGAATAGCTTTCCTATATTTATTGTCGCACATCCTTTTCTTCATTTTACTTTATTCAATCATTTTATATTTGTGTCAGTGCTTGTGTCGTTGTTTAGAGCTTTTTCCAATCAAATTCAATCAATCCTTTTTCAAAATTTCGTTTACAATAACTTTTTGAATAAATTTACCTGCCTAAAAGCCAGGTGCATTCAGAGAACACATGGTCCAAAACAACCCAAATACTTGAAATAGTAAAATATTGGTTTTTACCCATTTCTGTATACTATTTTCCAATTGTGAGTTTTATTACAGCAACATAGCAATCCATATATTAATTAACGCATGTGCATTCTATGTTTGATTTTCAGAAAATGGGCAAAAATGCTTGTACACATTAGGAGTAATGCTTTTTTTTATTTCTTCAACTGACCTTGGCTATTAATTATTGAAACCTATTTAATACCTTAGCCCAGCGTTTCTCAAACTTTTCTGCCCCGAAATATCTACGCTTTTTATCTCGCCTCGCGGAACACCAAGAAATTTGAATGTAAAATTGATGGCTGGTTTTCAAAAAATTTAGCCTATAGTAAAATTATAAAATTTGCTGTTAACTTGACAATTAAAAAATTAGACCGACGGTTAACGAAAACTCCATGCTTTTTAGACTTGGCTCGAGGCCTGCCCGTCTGTTTGTCACGAGTTAGGAGACAAATTTACAACCCAGAGTCGACGAAGTACGGCCGAGATCGCTATGGCGACCAATTTAGTCGCAACTTTGATCTATGTCCCGCTTGAACGTTTCTATTACATTTGAACCCACGACAATTGCACCTGCATACTATTGCACCTATGGGAATTTTTTTTTCGGATATTTGAACCTATACTAACCCTAACCAATGGATTTTACACCCTTGTATAGATTGAACCCGCGGATATACGGGTGCAAATGTATGGGTTCAAATGTACGGTCACCAGCTTGAACGCATTTTAGCTCTCAAGATTCCATCCGGATCCGATAGCTCTTACTTTCTAACTTGGCAACTAGAAATTACAGAACCCTTCTTCCACCTTTGAAAATTTCGACCAAGTTTTGATTTCGATTCCTGTTCCGGGAACCCTCTGAAGAAGCTAGCGGAGCAGCAGTTTCCGCGTAACAAAGCTTGAGTAACGCTGTCTGAAACGAATACCTGGTTGAGTGTTGCCATATTCAATTTCAGTACTTTCTGACACTCTATTGGTCACTCGTAACTAGGGCTGTCCAAGCGAACCAAATATTCGAAATCGAATCGCAAATTATTCGAATCGTTTTTCGGCTAATTTTCGAATCGCTAAAATCAGGTACCGGTACATAAAGCGGAAACCACCTTTACGGGATGTTTTTCATCGGGCAAGCGGCGGCGCTCCGTGCTCAGACCACTCTCGCTCCCGGCTTGCTTAATTGGTTTCCCGATATTTCTCTCGCCTTCATTTTGTGATACATGTCATTACTAATGCCCGCCCGGTGGCACGTGATTAGCCATTTCATGCATGGTCATCATAACAAGGTATAATCGATCGTGACGTTTTTGAGAGAGAACAAGGAGAAAAAGGAGACAATTTAGAAAACGATAGTTCTATAAATAGAATCGATTTGAAGCTGTTGAGTTAGTTATCATAGGAACATGGTACAGGCAACTCAAAGCTGAAACAGGTGTTTTGGGATCCTTATGATGGCAATACCTTCTTTAAATGTATTTTGTAATTTCTTATGATGGCATTACTGTGTTATCCATCTATATACCAAGACAAATAATTGCACTCTTGCATTTTGATGGCTGTTGTACACTAACAATATTATAGTCATCAAATAATATTGTCATCAAACTAGCTTGGAATTTTTAAATGCAATTTTGAACTTGAGCAACAGTTTTATCTATATTGATGGTTGTTATTATTTTGCTTAAATTTACACAAAAAAAACATAAAGACTAGTGAATAGGATTAAAATAGCATTTACAGGCTTTATATGTCCTATTAAAACTGAATCCATCAAAATTGAGATTGCAATTTTTGAATAGTGCAATTTTTACTCTTAACACTCAACAGTTTTCGAGACCCAAATTTTGGAGTTCTCCAATTTTTTTGACCAGTTCATACAAGCGTGTGATCTCCTTTGATGTAACTGCACATACGTTACCACGACATCGAAGGGCAGGCGTTTATTTTATAATAGAGACAGATTTACTATTGCGCAATAATATTTCATTATTCGGTTCGATTCGGCGAAAATATTCGATTCGAATCAAAAAATTATTCGATTTTGGACAGCCCTACTCGTAACTTTACTCAGAGATCCTTCTTCTTAATTTCTGAGTGAGTGTTTGTGACCAACTTTAGTTAAGAGCAAATTCATTTTGATACTTTATTCGTTATATGATTGAGCTTTCTACATACGAACATCCTATCTCAATTTGCTGATTGTGATTTCTCTTTTCAACCCACTTCGTGCATTTTATATCGAAGCTTCATCGCTGTTAACCCTTTATCAGCACAGAAAAAAAATTTCTTCATATTATACGCTTTATTTCGGTACAATTTTGTACATTAAACTTCAGACTAGGTTGAAAGCAACCACCAGTTTAGCACGGATATGAGAACACTTCCCTAGTTTATTACTCCAATATTAATGTATGTTTGAGATAAAAGACGATAACGAAGCGTAACCATATGTTCTCTTATCCAGTTACCAGATGGACTGGCTATCATTCCCGTAAATAACAAGAGACGTTTCTTATTACCTAATATATAATACTTATTTTACCGAGTAATCTTCATGCACTGCCGTTTATATAACATCCATTTTACGCAAGTAATTGTAACTGCCATTATTATAACATTCTTGCGCGGCGGTGTGGCTCATACGCTTTATTTAGGCACCATAGCAATCCATATAATGAATTAGGCAGGGGAATTCCATGCTTGCTTTTGGTTTTTAGAGCAAAAACGCACATTGAGTTTTTTTCATATTACCTAAATACCATTTACTTTATAAATGGATTTCCCTGCACTGCTACTTGCTTGTTACGACTAAACTGCTTTACAATCAAATTTGTACATAAGATTTCAGATTATGTCACTATGATTACGTACTTACGATCAATATTTTTTGTTGTTTAATTGAACTGCATACGCACTTTTGTGCGTTATTAAATGCTTTCATGCGAGTGTCATATAGGCTCAAATTTATGTCAAAGTACAGGATAGCCCAGGGGTGGGCAAAGTGGACCAGGGGCCAAAAATGTTGCCCACTTAGACTGGCGGGCCAGTCGACTTAAAACGTTACATTTTATGAACAGAATGTCAAGAATGCGTAAGCTATAAACAAAAAAGAACGTCACTAGAGCGTGATGACTCATAGGGACGTTTAACTAAACTTCGTACTCAGTCATCACCGCACACGACAAGCGCACGAGGCGAAAGAAAGAGATGTGAAAATCACGAGGTCGAATTTAGTGAGAGAGTTCGACTGTGTAACGTCCCCATAACATAAAAGTCTGTGGCACCAAATACAACTTGCACAGACTACGATCAAAATCTAACAAGCTAATTGCACCATACAGGTTTCAATAACAACAAATATGTAGTGCATGCAGATTTGGATAAAGCAGAAATTTATGTCAGCACAAGGCGGGCCAGATTGAATCACATAGCGGGTCGGATTTGGCCCGCGGGCCGTAGTTTGTCCATGACAGGGATAGCCGATGAGTAAACTTTTTAGTTGCGAGAGCAATAAACTGGATGAGCAATGCCGAAGCACAAAGTTTCCGATATCAGGAGCCGCTTCTACTTAGCGTTTCTAAGAGCGAAGCACCTCTTGAGTTAAAACTCATAAGTCGAATCCCGCGAAATAGGTAAGTTCTACAAAGCACACTCATTTACTTCGGTTACTGCCAACTGAGGGACGAGATTTCGCCCCACACTGTCATTCTTATAACATCTTCGCATGTTACTTAACTGCTTCACAGTTTTGTGCATTATACCAGGGGTTCTCAAACTTTTGGTGTTGCGGAGCCCTTGAAAAGATTAACTATTATTCACGGAGCCCCAAATGAAATGTTAAAATTGTTACTTTTCTATTAATATTCCTGAGTAAAATTAAAAGTACTTTACTTAATTTGAATGCTAAACCTTTTTTAATAGGGTTAATACAAGTCATAAATAAATCTAAATTTCAAAGATAAATTATGTATACTAAAACTGTAAATTTGACACTTGATAAACATATTAATAAATTATGGACCGAATCTTCACCCTTTCGACATTTTCAGAAGACTTACAAAGCCGCTGATAACGTACGCGAATGTATTTTGTTACATTCGCCGATGGTTCTCCTCAGCATGGCATGTTTTTAACATCTTTACGTCGGTGTTTATTCTCCCTAAATCAAAAATTTCCGTCGGCACGTACATGTATTGTTTCACAATGACGACGATAATTGCTTTTTTGTTCTCGTGGGGAATTATGAGTTCAATGTGAAAAACATGTTACCATATCGTCACGCTAATAACCGAATTGCGTAAGTCATTTTTTGCGATTTTAAGTTTTTTTTTATAAAATAGGTATTTATGTGATGCTGCGCACCTGTCTGTTAACTCAGATTTTATATTAAGAATTCCGAAACCCATAAAAATGAAGATTTAGTATGACATGCACATTTGTGCAATTGTTTCCTCATAATGAATTATCATTGTTACCGCAGGACTATTTTGACGTCAAATTTCTTGATTGAAAAACGATATTCTGAAATAATAAAACTTAAAATGAAAGATCACACTATAAATTTTATTTCAGCAGTCTCACGTCAGATCAAAAACGCTCTTATATAGGCATTGGAAATCACAAAATTTGGTGTTATGTTAGGTTTTCTCTGGTGATTCATCGTAGTAACTGCGAAATCGTAACACAGTCAATTGTTCGCGCGATGTACCTTTTTTTCATTCTGAAACCACCGACGGAGCCGCATGCAATAAATTAATTTCAATCGTTCGTATTTTGCCGAGACCTTGTGATTTTTTAAACGGCGATTAAAATATCAATTATTATCTTGCTTAAAATAATCTCGAGTGCAAAAGAACAAATGAAGTTTGACAAATCCCAAGATCGCAAAAATACGACTCCAATTTATTTATAGTTGGCAGTTTATCACGTATTTTATGTTATTTTAGAATAGTAATCCTTTATTTTAGTAATCCTAATAGTAATCTCGAATCAAACGTGAGTAACGACGAGCACAATTATATTATTAGAACAAGACACTTCAATTAAATGCTCGCATCGGTCATGGATTAAATATTTTACGCAACAGAAATCTCGCAATCCGTTTTTTTTTTAAATCGCGAAGAATGTCGCGCGGAAGTTTCCGATTCCATTCCCACCCCCTCCTCAGAAGCCTGGCTGCGCTTCAGCTTATAAATAATTTCATTTTTTAATTTCGCCTCTTTGCCATATTTCGAGGCTATATATTGTTTCAGATATTATCAAAGCTGTTATTGCTTCTTTGAACTGTTACAAAATTAGCCAAGTCAGAATTTTGAAAAGTAATCGAATAGCTCGCGGAGCCCCTGGGTTTCTCTCGCGGAGCCCTGGGGCTCCGTACGGAGCACTTTGAGAACCTATGCATTATACTATGTCGAACGCAAAAACCAGTTCAACACGGATTTGGAAACACTACTCAGTTAATTAGTGTGTGCGAGGAGAAATGCGATTACACGGCGTAACCATATGGCCTCTCGTCCAGTCACCAGACGGACTGGCTATCATATCCGTAAAAGACAAATAAAGTTTCTTATTACCTAATATAGCACGTTCATTTTACCGAGTAATCATCCTACACTGTCGTTTGTATAACATCCTTGCTTGTTGCGACTGAACCGCTTTAGAATTATATATATTGAATTCCAAATGTATAGTCTTGCTATCACAAAATTTTTCTTTCAAAATTTCAGAGGAATGTCTGATGTATACCTTAACACCTATTTTACGCAAGTAATTGTAACTGCCATTTTTATAACATCCTTGCTTTACAAATAACTTGCGTTTACCAGATGGACTGGCTATCATACTGTAAAATACAAAGAACGTTACTTATTACCTAATATACAGGGTGTCCACAAAGTCCCTTTACAATTTCAATTTTGTTATGAAGTCAGTTCTCAATATATCTTACCCAGGTTTGTTGTTTTTTTAATCAGTGATTGTTCAAGTA